TGCAGAACTTGGTGTATTCTGAAACTTTGTTATGAGACCCTTGTCTGAGATGATATTGCCAAAATATATTTCCCAGTCAGTAGGTTTTCTTTTCACTTAGTTGGAAAAGTTTTTGATGCACACAGGGATTTACTGTTAAGAAGGTCCCATTGGTGAATTTTATCCTCTCTTGGTTGTATATTTCTTGCTGTAGTTGTCATCCTTTCTTACACCATGGGCTAGGCTAAGGATCACTTTTTAAATTAAAGTCCTGGTTTGATTTTTAATTGTCTTGTTAAACTATTAGTCTTTAAGTATAAATATTTAACTAAATCTCTCCCCCTCCTTACTCCCCAGCCCCCACAAGCTTTTGCTCTTTTTCCTGCTAAACTAATTTATTTTGGATCCTGATTGCTTTGTAACTTGACATATTTTGGAGAAAATACAGTATGCTTCTAATAGTTAAAAAACAACCCACCCACACCCTTTGCTGTCAAGGTTAATCTGTCTTACAGTGTGACTGCAGCTAGCAATGAGCTTTGGTATAGTAGGGATGAGAAGGTTGGCACGGGATAGGTATGCTCGGATCTGTCCTTAGGGTCACTATGAATTGCACTTTACCTAACAACAACAGCATAGGTTAGAGTGGAACTGCTCCATGGTGTTTCTGATGCTGTAAATCTTTACTGGAGCAACTGCTTCATCTTTTTTTTAAATCATTACAGCAGCAGTGAGTTTAACTGCACCTTTCATTTAGCAGAATGCTTAACCCACGTGTTATCAAGACTCTTTAGCAGACATTTAATGTGTGTGTACATTTTGTCTTTCTCTTTTGCTAAAGAATTGTTTTTACATCTCTTTCTAAGCCAGTTTAAAGTTACTGTAACCTAAATGAATCTGTTTCATCAAGATTAACCTGCTAGAATAGTTTAGAATATTACATTAAAAGAGTGTAACTCTTTTAAAAAAATATGTTTATGTATTTTTGCATGTTGTCAGGTGCCATCCAGTTGACTATGATTCATAATTACTCTTGGAAAAACCTTAAACCTTGCCCAGTCCTGTGGTATCTTTTTCATCTTTAATATGCTCAAGCCCATCATAGAGTTACTGTGTCCGTCTTCCTTGTTGAAGGTCCTAGTCTGCTTCTCTGACCCTCCACACCTTTCTCTCTCATGCATGCGTGCTCGCGCGTGCACGCTCTCTCTCTTCACACACACACACACACACACACACACACGAATCAGGTGCGCCTTAGTCTTTAAGCTGACATTGTTGCTCTTCAGTACTTTGAAGAGGTTCCTGAGCAGACTTTCCCAGTGCAATATGCCTTTTATGTACAGAAGGAGAATAGATGCCTTCGTGTTGTGCTGGAGAAGAGTCTTGACCATACTATGGATTGCCAAGAAAACGAATAGTTCTGTCTTGTACGAAATGAAACGAAGTCTCTCCTTGGAGGCTAGAATTTTGAAGCTCTGCCTTACTTGTTTGGGCATGTTGTCAGGAGAAATTGTTCCTTGGAGATGGAGATAGATCATGCTCAGAAGGGTAGAGGGACAGTGCAGGAGAACAGGACCCCGGATGAGATGGATTGATAAAGTAACCGGGGCAGTGGGGTTTGATGTGTCAGAATTAGTGAGACTGGCAAGTGAGACGGGGAAGGGTTCAGAGCTGCTCTACATAGGGTCACTATACATCAAAGGAGACTCAACAGCACATAGCAATAACAAACTATGACAGGTTTGGAAGCAGGCGTGGCATCCACTTCTTAAATAACCTGCCTCAGGAAATTCTATGGACTTTGATAAAAGTTGATAGTTGTAGAGGTGCTTCAGGCTTTTTGTTCATAGGGTCACTATGGGTCCTGCTCGACTTGAAGGCAGTCAACAAACAAAAAACAAAAGTACTAATATTATTGATGGTAGATCCAGCTAAAATGAAGTCCTTGACAGTTGCAAATTTTTCTCCATCTGTCATGATGCCTGTCGTCAGTTGATCCCATTGGTGAGGATCTTCCATAATTTAATGTAGGCTATAGTTTTAGATCTTGTGCCAGAACTGTTTCAAGTCCTCCTCACTATCAGTAAGCAAGGTTATGTCATCTGCATAACAAAGGTGGTTAATGAGTCTTCTTGGATCCTGATGCCACATTCTTCTTTATAAAGTCTTATCTTCTGGAATGATTTGTTAAGCATACAGATTGAATAGGTGTGGAGACAAGATAAAACCCTGGTGCATGCCTTTGTTATTGTTAAACCATGCAGTGTTCCCTTGTTCTGTTTCAATAACAGTTTCTTGGTCTAGGTGTGTTTTTGTTATTAGGTGCAAGCTAGTGGAGTACAACTTTTAGCGACCCTATGAACAATTGATCTGAAACTTGTCCTGTTCCATTCTCACGATTTCTAACAAACTAGAGCCCATTGCTGTAATCTTTTTGTCAGATAAAGGGAGCTCTGGTGTCACAAAGACCTACACTGCTAGCCAAAAGGCCATGCTCTTCTTGGTAGATAGATGGACAGACTTCTCTCATGCGATTTAAGCCTCAGAACACTCATTGGAGTGTCAGCTTGGAGTTGCTTCTTTTGTTGACTACTAAATAGGTCAAGTAATAGGAGAAGTAAGACTTAGCCCCTAGATTTACCAATGTGGAGTTCACTAATTGACCTTTTCTAGTAGTTCTAAGTGAATGGTAAAGATGAACTCCTTATTGAAATAGAGTCAAGACCAGTGGAAAGATGGAACTCGTGAATTGGAAATGTTTGTGTTTTCTCCCCCATGCCCACCTTGGTTTTGTTATAAAGGAAAAGACATTAAATTGAGTGGTTTTAGAGGAAACGTGTGAATTGTGTTGGCTAAAAATACTGAAGATAGCATAGACTGACAAAAGAACAAACATCTGTCTTGGGTGATAATGCAGCTCCTTAAAAAGCAAGAATAGTTAAACTTTACCTCACATACTTTGAGGATATTTTCAGGAGGGGCCAGTCCTTGGGAAGAGACATCATGCTTGGAAAAGTTGTTGCCAGGCATCCATTAGTTGACTACAACTCCTAGGAGCCCTGTGAACAACATGTTGAGTCTTCCCTTTCCTACACCATCCTCACCATTTCCAAAGTGCTCTAGCCCATTGTTAACACTGTGTCAGTCCATCCTATTGAAGACCTTTCTCTGAACCTGCACCTTTCCAAGCTTGATGTCTTTTTCCAAGGACTGACTCCTCCTGGCAACATGCCCAAAGTATGAGACAAAACTCTGTTCATGTAATTGTATAGGTCTACAATAGAGCTTACAGATGATGATTGTTTCTAGTGAGCTGTATTTTGAGAAGGGAGTTCTAGTGGCTTAGTGATAAGGAGTTGCCCTGCCAACCAAAGGCATAGTTTTCAGTCTACCAGCTGTTCTGCAGGAGAGAAAGATGGGTAATCTGTTAAATTTACTATTTCTGAAAATCCTTTGAAGGGTCAGCTATGGCTCGATGGATCACCTGTCAGTCACTTCTAACCTGGCAGTATGTAACAAACATTATCATATTCTGAATATGAGAAGTAACTGTGAACTAACGTCTGAGATAAGATAAGAAATTATATTGACAGTAAAAGATTGTTATGTGCCTTTAAGTTGGAAACTCATGCAGTTAACTAACAATTTCAGAGGTTGTTACACAGGAAGAGATTGTCCATCTTTCTCAGTGGAACAACTGGTGGATTAAAATCACTTTGGGGTTGGCATTGTAGCTTTTTACCTCTAAGCCACCAAATTGCTGTTATATACTGTAGAGTCCGAGGCAGTAAATTTTATTGGAGGAAATTGCACCTGTTTCTCCCATGAAGTAGCTGGTGAGAGTCGAACTTCTTGCCTTAGAATTAGCAGTGCAGCTACTTAACAGTTAGCCTCCAGACCTTGTATAATGTTTCTTTGGGTTTCTGTTTTCTTAGAGTGAGGATGGAGAACAAGGTTTGGTTTGATTCCATCTGGTCAGAGTCAGTGTATCAGAAAAGTAAAATTGTGGACTTGCATGAAGAGCCCACTTGTGGTTGTCATTGCGTTTGTTCTGACTCATGTCAGCCTGCATAGATGAGAAGAAAGCCTTGCCTTGTACTGTGCCATTTTCACGCTGTCTCAGTCCATCTCATGGAGGCTTTTGCTGTGGTGTCCTTTTGAATTAGCAGTGCAGCTCTTTCCTGGACTACACCCCCAGGCCCTGCTCCCTCCACTATGATGTCCTTTCACAGTGATTATTCTTCCTTGATGTAATCTAAGGAAGCCACTGAAATCTTGTAATTTTTATTTAAGGTGCATGCATTTCTTCTAAGACTAATTTGTTCCTCCTTTGTCAGTTCTTAGTATATTCAGGTTCTTTGAAACTAAAAATACATAACTAAAAAACTTGTTATGAATTTCAATTGGGACTGATCAGATATTGATACCATTTTCTTTCATTTGTACGCATGCAGGTTAGGAGTACACGGGCGTTAAGAATTAGCCTAGCAAATACTTGAGAGGGACAGGCCAAGTGGTTTGTGTGTTTTAAAAGCAATTACAGATGATTGACTGACCATGGACTCTAAACTGGGAAAGAAGGAAACTGAGAGGTTGAATAAAGAGGGGCGGGAAAGTTTGATTGCACATTGTCTCTGTATCTAATTTTTTAAGAGAAGTAGTATTCATGTCTCCGATATTTTTTTTAAAGTCAAAGGATCTTGTCTGCTCCAATAATTCTCTGGACTTATACTAAATAAACTTAGGGAAAAGATACTTTGGACTACATATTAAATTATGTTAACTGTTAGCTCTAATGATTTTGCCTCTAGGAGTACTGTCTATCCTACAGATTAATAAAAGGAAATTGGAAGAATTTTTAAAAAATTGCTCTTATCAGCTGTAAAAATTATTTAATAGCATCTCCTTATTGTAATAAGGCATACAGATTTATAATTGTACCCATGTAATTAAAATGGACAAGTGCAGAAAAGTCTTCCTATTGGTTTTAAAAAAAATCTCTTCTTTCTTGAATATTCCAGATGACCATGGATGAAAAATATGTAAACAGCATTTGGGACCTTCTGAAAAATGCAATTCAAGAAATTCAGCGTAAAAATAACAGTGGTCTAAGTTTTGAGGAGCTCTACAGAAATGCATATACTATGGTTTTGCATAAACATGGAGAAAAGCTCTACACTGGACTAAGAGAAGTTGTTACGGAGCACCTCATAAATAAGGTATTCTGCTTGAGGTCTTTTGCTAATAGTATTGAATGTAAAAACATCACTTTTATGAAGTCTTATTTTTTATTATTTGCATGAAGCCTATTGAAATAATTTATGGTTCATTATAACTCATTAAAATCAGCTATATTAGAATTTTTGATATTTGAAGGAAGAAGTTTGCGATTTAGGTAATAGTAATTAAGTGGACATTTTTAATAACTTGAAAGTGCTTATTTATTAATATATTCAGTACAGATAATTTTTATTAATTTAAAAATGCTTCAGTCATCCCATTTTCACTATTTGCTTTTTGTATGGGGAAATAAAATTACATGGTTTAAAAAATCGTTTAAGATTGTATTCATTGAAACTGACTTTATTCATTTTAACTGAGTTTTACTCTAATAAACCTGACATTTTTTTCAAAAGACAATTTAATATGTGCTGTTAACATAATAATGTTGGTTTTTTGGTTTAAAAAGAGAAAGAGAGCCACTGTTTTTATAGAGCACATTCTTCCACAAGTGAAATATAATTTAATTCATAAAATAATTTTATCACAATGTCCTGCTTTTGAAATTGTCAAATACAATGCAAAATACCACAGATTTGTGGAAATTGTTCATAATTATTGTGTGGTATTAGGCTGTTTACTCCCCCTTAATTTTTTATAGAGGGAGCCAAAAAAATTACGTGACTAATACAGTGTTTACCTTCTATCAACTGTTAGCATTTTGTTGCACTTTCCCCCCCTTTCTACTGATACTCTTGTATTTGAACATTGGATTTTATTTACCTTGAAAATAATGTTCAGACTGGTTCTCATATAACAACAAAGAAATACTCTTAACCACAGAGCAATGATCAAAATTAGCCAGATTCACATTAATATAATACTGTTGTGTAAAACAGTCCATTTTCAGATTTCACTGATTGTCCTCTATGTAGTACTGCTATGTCATTAATAGCATTTTTCCCCCTGATCCAGGATCCCATCCAGGATCACGTACTTCATTCCTTATCCTTGTTTTGTGTTTCAGCACATTGACGTTGTTGAAGAGTACAGGTCAGTTGTTTTGTAGATTGCCCCTCGGGTTTTGGTTTGTCTGATTGTTTCCTCGACTAGTTTCAGGTTATGCATTTTTGGCAGGTAAGTGATGTATTCTCTGCATCACATCAGGAGGCATATGATGGCACTTTATCTTATTATTGGTGATGTTAACTTTGATCAGTTGGTGTCTGCCAGATTTCTTCACTTTGGAGGTACCTTTTCCCCTTTGTAACTCCTAAGTAATCTGTTCAGATATAATCTGAGACTATATTGTTAGCAAGACATTTTTATGTGATGGCTTTAGCATCTATTGTTCAGAAGTCATCTGTCTTAAATAAGACGCCATTAGAAGTCATCTAGTACTCTTTAAGTGAGGTCATTCCTTCATAAAATCAGCACATCTTTGTTAAGTGCCTATTAACGTACAACTTACTATGGAAATGTATTAGATGGAATTAGATATGATAGTATTTATTTTGGAAGCTGTTTTTTTCTTGATAAGCGATGATAAACACAATGAAAACAGTGAGAGATGTTCTGTTATTAATTGGCAAGTGAATCATATAGGTAATACATGATTGAGAAATTCACATGTAGGAAAAATCACCCTGAGCCTTTCTAGAAAGGCTTTTTTTAGAAAGTATCACATTGAACTAAGTCTTGGAAAGTTTAGGATATAAGTGAACAATTAAGGAATTCCAAGATGGCACATACCATGTGCTTTAACTGGCAAATACAAGCGGAAAGTAGAATTTGTGGAAAATTAGAGAATAATTGCTGTGTAGCATTTAATTGAAACCGACCCATAGCTGATCTTCTGGCAGATTTTCCGAGGCAGTTAATCACACGGGAGGAGATTGTCCATTGAAAGCAGCGAAGCAGCTGGTGAATTGAAACCCTTGCTCTTAGGTTAACAGCACAAACTTCCCACTGAGCCACCACAGCTCTCTGTATTAGGGAATAGTAGATTCCAAAATTGGACGGGGAAGAGAATATTAGGAAAACCTTGACTGTCAGATTATAAAATTTACCCTTGAAAGGAAGGAGGGCTTTAGAGGTTTTTAAATGGATAAAGATAGTGTATTTGAAGATTTATGAAACTGATAAAGATATACTTACTAGAAGCAGAGGAATACCTGAAATAAATAATAGAGTGATATCAGCATTCTGAATGAAGTAAGACTAGACAGGATTTGTTCATTGAGGGGGTTATTGGTTATTTATTCCATAAGCAGATATATTGCATAAATGGGTTTTGGAATGGGTAGGGGAGGTAGATTATGTTAGAAATTTTTATAGTTGCAGAATACCTTTAGAAATAATTTTACATGTAAATAAATTTGAATATGATTGCATAACAAAAAAGCTTACGTGTGTATAATTATATGTTTATAGATAGACACGTTTTGAACTTTGGGAGAAGTGGGGAGTAGAGATAGATGGTTGCTATTTGAATAGGATGTGCTGGAAAGTTAAGTGTGGAGTTCACAGAAGAAAGGGCCCAGGACTTCATTTTAGGATAAATAAGTGAGGGGAGCAAAAACTAATTTTAAGAAGACTGATAAATAAAGAGTAGAGGAATTCTCTTAAAACCTACTGAAGGGAAGAAGAGTAGAGCAACTGAATTTTTGAGAATTGAGCGTGTGATGAAGGAATAAATGTGAAAGAAAAGCATGTCTTTATCTGTCAGAGGTTATACAGAGAATGATGATAATAGCGATAAGCTAACTCTTAGTGTTTGCTGTATGACAGATCTGTCTTGGAGGAAGTGCAACCAAGATATTTTTTAGAGGCAAGTATGATGAAAGTTTGTGTCACGCACTTTGTGCATGTTGTCAGGAAGCACTGATCTCGCTAAAAGATCTGCTTGGAAAGTAGAAAGGAAGACCCTCTGTGATACAAATTGAGCCAGTGACAAGAATGGGCTTGAACATGGCAGAGGCTGTGAGGGTTGTGAGGGATAGGGCAAGTTTTACAACTGTTCATAGGGTCACTGTCAGTAATAGTTGATATCACCTAAGAATGTGTGATAGACCTAGGGCTACTATTTTAGTTAGTCTTGTGGCCTAGTAGGCCACATCTACTACCATTTGTTTTACAGATTAAGAAACTGAGGCATACGGAATTGATAATGTTTCTAGATAGAGATAGTTAGTCAATACTTAGAACTAAATCCAAGTAGTGTCTTTAGATTGAGTGCTTCAATTTTCTGTAGATGAGATCCAGTGGCATAATGACTCAATTGTGATGGGGTAAATATACTGAAATTACACATGGTTGAGGGGCTTCAAGTGTATTGGCTTATTGTTGGTAAAACTAGTTAAAAAGATTAAAAAAAAAATCACCTAGATTTGAGTTCTAATCTGTAGGATTGACTAGAACTGACTCTGAGGATCTCTGTAAATCTTTGTAGAATCAGACATCATCTCTTACTTTTCCTCAAATACCTGGTTTGTACACAGACTTCCTGATAATTGGTGTGTAACCTCTCTGCCACCAGAGCGCCTTATTTTTGGGACTGTAAAACATAGACAGGAAGAAATTGAAGTCATTATTCTTTGTGAATAACATCTTAAGACTTGAGAATACACATCATATTGTAGGTTGCTTAAGGTGTCCTTATATCCCGAGTTGAACTCTCAAAATATAGGTTGTCCCTGCTTAGTATATAGTATGAGGGAGCTCTGGTGACCTAATAAGTTGCACTGCATTCCCAAAAGCATGCATTTCTAATCCACCACTTATCCAGGGAAGAAGGACAGGCAATCTCTTCCCTTTGACAACCCCTGTAAGGGTCAGCTATGGGTCATTTCCACCTCAGGCACATAACACCAACAGCAACCAAAAGGGATCTGTTCGCTGATAGGGAATGCCGTCACACAGTAGCTCAAATGCTTGTCTTTGGATGTAATATTCAAATTTTTTAATTCTATAAAATAAGATTCCAGTATGTTACAGATAAAATAGGAAATATAGTTTACATTAAATTAATACTTCATGTCTAAGTTTGCCTTTGGCTGGGTAGCATTAATTTCACAGAATATATTCCTTTTTGTGGTCCTCAAAGCATTATTACTTATTAAGTATGAAACTGCTTAGCTTCTTTTAAAAGTAAATTACTTTAAGAAGTAAAAATAATTACTTTTTAAAAAGTAGAGATATTGTAGCTGATGTTAGATGGATCTTAGCTGAAAGCAGAGAATACCAGAAGAATGTCTATCTGTGTTTCATTGATTATGCATAGGCATTTGACTGCGTGGCTGACTCTGAGAAGAATGGGAATCCCAGAACATTTAATCGTGCTAATGCGAAACCTATACTTGGACCAAGAGGCAGTCGTCAGAACAGAGCAGGGCAACACTGCCTGGTTCAAAATTGGGAAGGGTGTACGCCAGGGATGTGTCCTATCTCCATACCTTTTCAACCTTTATGCAGAGCAGATTATCCGAGAGGCTGGGCTTTATGAGGAGAAGCGTGGCGTTAGGATTGGTGGACAGTCTATCAACAATCTGCGTTATGCAGATGACACAACCCTGCTCGCTGAAACTGAGGAGGACCTCATGCACTTACTGCAGAGGGTCAAGGACTGCAGCCTTCAGTATGGACTGAGGCTCAATGTCAAGAAGACAAAGATTCTCACCACTGGACCAATCGGTAGCATCAGGATGGATAGCGAAGAGATTGAGATTGTTCACAGCTTCCAATTTGCTCGGCTCTACGGCCAACACTCTTGGCACCAGCAGCCAGGAAATCAAAAAACGTATTGCGATGGGAAAGTCTGCTGTTAGGGACCTCTCTAAAGTACTCAAGAGCAATGGTGTCTCTCTGGAGACCTAAGGTGCGCCTGATACAGGCCATGGTTTTTGCAATCACTTGTTATGCATCAGAGAGTTGGACAATGACTAGGGAGGATAGAAGGAGAATTGATGCCTTTGAGCTGTGGTGCTGGAGAAGAGTGTTG